TCTGTCACAGAGCTCCCTGGGCCTGGGCCTGCAGTGAACCCTCTTCTTTAATAGGCAAATGGAAATCACAACAGTAATAATGGTCATTGTGAACATCAACCGAATGTTTCCAAACTGTTCTAAGTGCTTTATTTATACTACCTCATGAAATTCTCAAAATAATTCAGGAGATAAGGTGGGTACTACTACAATGACCTCTTTACAGATGAAACACTGAAGTTTACTCATTCAGTCTGGTCAGCTCTCTCAAGGCCAGTGGATTCAGCACTGGGGTTCAAGCCCAGTGACAGCAGGACTCTGGCTGGCCCAGGGAGAGCCCAGGAGAATGTGTGGGGCAGCACCCTGCCTGCAGCCTGCCCCTGTCCTAGGGCTCAGTCACAGGAGCTCCTAAGGCCGTGAGAGCCAGTGGGCAGAGGCTCCTACTTGGGCTGAGAAGAGATGACACTGCACTTCATTTGCTGTGCAACGTTTGTGTAATTAGAGACATTTGGCTCCAGTGAGGACAAGCAGGCTACAGCAACCAGGCTTCAACCATATTAAACACAGAAGCCAGGGCCACAGGGGCCATTTTTCTCATAGGCTTTTTCCTATTTCCACACCTGGGCACACTGGCGAGGGAGGGTGAAGGGGTGGGCTTTCCAGAGACCCAGGCCAGCCCTGAAGCACGCCCTGTGTCCCCCTGTGTCCCAGGTAGGGACCGACTGCCCTGAGGATAGTGTGAAGCTGCTGGAAGCCCACCATAGCAGGACACAGGCTCTGGAAACACAGTGCAGCTGCCCACCACTGTTAACCAGATGAACCCTCCCTCCTGGGAGGGGAGCCTAGGCAACCTCGGCCCTCCAGCAGAGGTGAGCATGTTTGCCTTGCAGAGATGACACAGGGAAGCTGACGTACCTCCCTGAGCCTCATGTCTGCACCTGTGAGATGCTGATTCTATTCCCCTCTTAGAGGGCAATCAGGGAGATGAATGAATGCAGTGCACTGGGCTCTCGGGCAGAGAGGCCTGCTGCCAGTGCTGCACAGACAATGGGCAGCTTTCGTTGCATTCTACTGGGTGATGTCACTCACCACTAGGCTTGATGGTGCCTGGAGATGGCCATGCCCTAGCCCCCCCGAGCCTGTGAATGTCACCTTTAGGAAAAGGGTCTTTGTAGATGTGATTGAGTCAAGGATCTTGAGATGAGGAGATTCTGCTGGGTCATCTGGGTGGGCCTTAAAGACAATCACAGGTGTCCTTGTAAAAGTGGCAGATGGAGGGCACTATTACAGAAGAGGAAGAAGGTGATGTGAGAACAGAAGCCGGGGAGAAAAGACAATGTGATGCAAGACAGAATCACAAGCTCAGGAATTCAGGTGGCTTCCAAATGCTGGAATAGTCAAGGAAATGGATACTTTCCTGGAACTTTCAGAAGGAAACAGCCCTGTCAGTACCTCAATTTTGGGCCCAGAAGATTTGTTTCACACTCTGGCCTCCAGAACTATCTGAGAATACATATGTATTGTTTTAGGCCACTAGGTAATTTGTTACAGCAACAAGAAACTAATACACCACCCTTCTGGTATCAAGGCTAGAGGACAGTGAGTGACAGGGCCATTTCTGCAGCCCTCGGGCAGGCCAGCCCTCTCCTGCACCGTCTTCCCTGGGTGCTCAGTCCACACCGTGCCCCTCACAGGCTAGGAAGAAGTCCAGAGAGAGGACATAACCTGTGTCCAACCCAGAGCTAATGAATGGAGAGGACTGTAGATGACTCAGGGGCTGCCTCCCAGCCACAGCTCTCCACCAGCCCAGGGAGGGACAGTCTGTTCAGTGACAAGACTCTGCCTAGAGCCAGAGCATCTCAAGCCTGAGCCTGTGGCAGCGTCACCTGGAGAGCGTGTCAAACAAGGATCACAGGCCCCACCCCAGAGTCACTGACTCAGCAGGTTTGGGCCAGATCCTGAGAATCTGCATTCTGCATAGGCTCCTGGGGCATCCCCTGGGATGCTGCAGGTCCAGGTATTTGAGGAACCACTGACCTGGCAGGCTGTGACCTAACAAAGGGTGTATGTGCACTCAAGATGGAATCAGTTGGACCCGTCCAGGGGACATATGGCCATATACATATGCTCCTAAGAGAGGGGCCAGCTAGTGGTTGAAGGCCTGGGCTCAGGGGGCTGTATTTAGGGTTCTAACTCTCCCATTCCCTAAGTGGGTTACCCTGATGGTTCCATACTTAACCTCTCTGTTCTGCTTTAGTTCCTTCATCTGTGAAATGGAAATGGTATGAAATGCCCATCTTAGGGCTGTTGGGAGGATTAAGTGAGATGAAACTCATGAAGTGTTTATAGCAGAACCTGTTCACAAAATCAGAGTCATTCTGAGAAGTGGCAGTTGTCAATGGTAGGCTTCTTATAGCTCTGTCATTGCCCCTAGTATGTGGGGAGATGTGAGCCAGGATCTTTACCTGCAGATACGGAAACCTGCATGGACTCTCCCTCCAAGGAGGTCTGAGCATTGCCAACATCTCTGACCAGCAATGGGACCCCTTCAGGGAGCACTTCACTATAGGCCTGCTGTGTCCAGGACCTGTAATGCTGAACCAACCAAACATTTCTAAAGAGCAGAAAACTGGCAATTCTAAGCCCCTCCCAAAAAGGGATTTAGCTCCCTTGACACAGCTATTATTCTCAGATGCCACCAACTGCACAATTTTGTGGCAATCTACTAGCTCCAAATGAAGGTGCCTTCAGAAGCTGCCAGAGCTCTGGTCTCAGCCACCTGCAATTGGAGAGGGCCAGGAGGTGGGCAGAGGGCTGAAATGGCCCCATCACCTACCAGGCGGACACAGGCTGCCAGCAGAAGGTTCTAGTCAGGTAAGAACTAGTTACTTGCAATGGAATAAAATGCACAGTTCCCAATGTTGAAAGGACATAGGAGACAACCTGAAGAGGCTCCCCCCACCACCGGGACCAAATCTGGGACAATTTGAACAACACAATAAACAGTAATAGCAATAGAGTATAACACATAGAAGTACATAAATATCTAAGCATTTATTTGACATAAATAAATGATCAAGTAAATAAGAAATGAGTGAGAAGACACAGCTATTCCTTGCAGTAGAATTCCAATCAGTGACTGGAAGGAAAGATAGAAGTTACTATTATTCGGCAAACACTAGTAATTACTGTTTCTGGCAAGAACCCTCAATGGGTGGTAAAGTTAGTCAGTGAAAATATGAGAAACAAGATATCTATATATTATCGATGTATTGCCCCACAAGATACTTAGGATCCCAAAGGGACCAACTTTAAAGTGGAGAAACTCAGCAGACCTCACCTTAACTCCAGTGGTCTCCAGTGTTGGAGACCATGTGTGCCCTAGGCATGGCACACTAGCAAGGAGGGCACGATGCAACTTTAATGGTATTAAACCTGATGCACATTCTGAGTCGAATCATAAGGCAACACCAGGCAAATCCAAACTGAGGACATTTTGTATAGTAACTGGTCTGTCCTCGTCAAAAGAGTCAGGGAAAGGCAGGGCCGCTGAGCCACTGTCCCTGATCAAAGGTGACTAAGGATGTATGACCACTAAATGCAAAGGCCAGATCCTGAACAGGAAAAAAGAGACATGAGTGGGCAACTGGCCACGTTTGGGTAAGATTTATAAGTCAGTTAAAGCACTGTCTGTGGTCACGTAAGAGGTGAACATTTGAAGAGCTAGGTGAAGGGTATAATGAAAATCTTTTCACTATTTTTGCAACTATTTTCATATGTATGAAATTATTTCAAAGTAAAAAATATTTTTAAAAAGAAAATAAAAGTTCCAGAATTTGCTCTGTCTTGGGGAGACAATGGATATTACAAATAGGAGTAACTGAGGGCTGGGAACTTCTCAGTCACCTGCCTCCTGATCAGGCACAGGGCTTGCTCTGGACATAGGAAGTGCTCATCAAGTATTCCAGTAGGAGCTGGAGAGGCAGCAGGGTTTGTCTCCAATGGGTGGGATACATGCATAGAGCAAACACTGATCCTGCAGCTGTTACATGTCAGCCATTGTTGATGTGGGATGACAGGGAGGCTTGGTGCCTGCGAGAGGCACGTGTGAAAACAGGCCATGCTGGTGGGCTAATGAGGTGGGAATCCAGGCAAGGGTCCCTACTCAGTGTGGAAGACCCCACTGTCCCTGGAGGACGGGCAGCCTCAGCAGGCTGGGCAACAGGAGCAGGGGGAGGGATGTATGGCAGGGCTGTGTGTGTGCTAGAACCAGAACTGGCAGCTAGGCATGGACAGATGCAGTGGCTGGGTCAAGAGGGCCGTGGGGCCAGCTAATCCTTTGCAGTAGGTTCCTTCCGAGGCAGGTGTGGGGAGCAGAGGAGATAATGGGGATGGGGAAGTTTCAGCCTCTCTTCTGGAAGCAGAATGGATGTGAGAGCAGGGGGATGAGTCTTTGAGTCATAGCAACGAAGAAAGGCACCATGAACTTAGAAGGCCCCAGGAGAGCATGAAGAGGGGAAGGGTTAGGTGAAGGGCGATAGCTCTGGTAACTGCCCCTTCTACCGTGGAGTCTTAAAGCAGGGAGTAGGAAGAGGCTACAAGGCATAACTTTGAGCTTGTCCTTATCAGTAGGGTGACCTATAATTTATTGTCCAAACTGGGACACTTGAGAGAGTGGGATAGGTGCTATGAATTAGTATTAAGGTCACTGTACTTACATATGGCACTGGCCCTGAGGGGAGTCCCATTGCAGAGGTGGGTACAGAGCAAGGTATCCATGGATACACCAGGACAGCCCGCAGCCTTGGATGTGGGGAAGTGTGTGATGAGCAGGCCTCCTTCCCAGGCAACCAGTGGGGACTGGAAGTCTGCACCCTGCCTACACATTCACATGGGGTCCCGAGTCAGCGCCCTTCTAGGTGGCAAATGTAAATGTCCAATCAGGAGCTCCACAGAGACGGGTGCAGGAGAGATAGCTGAGGCTGCCAGCCACCCTGGTGGCAGGTGGAGACATGACTTACCCATGCACGCTGTGGACAGAGTGAGGCTCATAATGATATCTTCCCTCCTGGTGTCTCATGTCAATCGGCAAGGGAGCATGGAATGGAGGCACAAGGTGCGCTGGCACTGCAGAGCAGGAGAGAGAAACAGGACTTCAAAAACTCTTTTTCCCTCCCTAGAAAAGCAATTTTCAAAGAGCTTTAAAGTTCAATGAATTTCAGAGCAAAAGCAGTCAGGACAGGGGGCTCAGCAGTGCCTGCTATCACACACCCACGGAGAGGGATGAATAAATAATCAAAGTCAGCCAAGAATCCTATATCTTTCACATAAAAGATCCCCAACTGTGCTCTTGACAAAGACAAGCAGCTAATTGCTCTTTGAACTCAGGGAGATTACAGTCTCAGCCGCAAATCACGATTGACAGAGCCAACAGGCTGCTGCCCATCCCGGCCTTGGCTGCGTGTGGCTCAAGCAACCCTGGGTTACGGCATCTGGATGTTGCAGTCACACTGGCTGGAAGTATTTACCTAGAACCACCTGTGAAGCCAGGGCCTGCTCCCAGCTGCGGCCAGCCTCAGGAAGGCCAAACCCCACCAGGCTGCCCACCCCATCCTGCAGACGGTGCACAGTGGGTCTGTTGATTCTCCAGCTCTTAATATTAAGAGTTAATATCAACTACTGACCCCAAGTACGCTGGGGGTGCCTCCAAGATGCAAATGCCAACACGTAAGCATTGGTTTCTAGAGTTGAGTCAGCCTGTCTGCACTTGGTCTGCCCTCCACAAATTATCATGATAATTGTAGAATGCTCTTTGCTTATTAAAAAAACGTTACTGAGTACCCTGGAGGCAAACATAATTATAAGCTTTAGGAAAACAAGGCCCTTTAAGAAATAGTTAGCCTGGGAGCAGTGCTATGAAGTGGGGATTTCTCAGCCAGCTCTCAGGCTGAAGGCCACCACCAGTGGGAATCAGTGTTGAGTCTGAATTGCTGAAGAGCTGAAAGAGATGTGGATGGGTTTGTTTCACATGCCTCCAGATAAGCTGACTGTCAAGCCTATCGCAATAAATGCACATAAATAATTCTGCTCACCGTGTCTGTGCAAACAGATTCTGGAACCATATTGTAAATATTATGAGTATTTTTTTATTGTGGTAAAATAAATACACTATAAAATTTACTATTTTAACCATTTTTAAGAATACAGTTTAATGAGATCAATACACTCACATTGGTGTGCTACCACCATCCATCTCCAGAACTCTTCATCTTTCCCAACTGACACTCCAATAAACCCTTTCTCCATCTCCCTTCCCCAGCCCCTTTCTGTCTCTATGAATCTGACTGCTCTAAGGACTTCATATAAGTATGTCATAATCATACAGTATTTGTCCTTATGTGTCTGGCTTATTTCACTTAGCATAAAGTCCTCGAGGTTTATCAATAACAGCATGGGTCAGAATTTCTTTCTTAAGTCTGAATACTATTCCATTGTATGGATGGACCACAGTTTGGTGACCCATCCATCCGCTAAGGGACATTTGGACTGGAATGCTATGAATGCTTAGCAAGAGGAAATTTTTCTTCTGAAATGTTAACCTTACAATTTTACACATTCAAATTTATCTTCATAATTCTATGATTCTTGAACCTCCCATGGGGAAAGGAACAAAGAAAGCAAGTTTTCCCACCAAACACAGATGCCACCACTCTTGGGCTCAAAGTGAAACTGCCACTGGACATGACACAAGGCACGCTGCCCTGTCCCCTGGCCGAGCTTTCACTCCCAGAGCTGGAGATTGCTGGAATGGCCATCCTCCCATCTGAGAGGCAGGGCTGGGCATGCGGCAGTGACAGAGTGACCAGGCAGCTCCCCAGCTGTGTGACTTTGAGCAAACCTCTTCACCTCTCTGAGTCTCAGTTTGCTCACCTGAAAATGGGTAACAGTAGCTGTATTTGTGGTTCCTATGAAGACAAGAAAGATCCTCTTGGGCAGGTGCTTACCCCAGCACCTGCACATATAAGAAGCACTGTGTTACCATTGATGATGACAGTTACCACTAATATTTGGAGCCCCAAAGTCTGTAATCAAATATGAAGACATCACTTATTATCTGTGTGGCACAGGACAAGCTGCTCACTGCTCCCTGCAAGCCCTGGGGAGGGTGGAGGACCACCACTGGCCAAATGGGAGACAAACGGGGCTTCCCTGAGTCCCTAGGGGTATCAGCAGGGAAGCAATGTCCAACCCTGGTATGTGCAGGAAAGGACCTATGGGTTTGTTTTTTATTTAATGTGGTTAGGCAGACCAGGTTATAGCATTGTCAACAAAATGAAAATGTTTTGCTTTTGTGTTTCTGAATGTTTCCATCCATATCTGAAGGGCCCCTAAGGCAGCCAGGGTAGGTGTTATGCCCATTTCACAGATGAGGAAATGGAGGCGAAGGGTAATTTCAGCCCAAAGACACAGGGCTGAGAACCAGGAGAGCCAGGAGGAGAATCCAGAGCTCTGGCAACTGGTCATGGGCTGGTCCCTCTGTCCACACAGATGAACACTCAGGCAGTCCCTGGGATTGGAGCTGATCCCTGGGGTCCTCCTGTTGCCACCAGCATGTGTACCATCTTTAATGAGCACTTGCACAGTACTGGGCTCTGCAGTAAGCGCTTTGCAAGTGTCAGCTCCTGGATCTTCACTGCAACCCCAGGTGGCAGTCACCCCTGAAATGCTGTTCTTCCCACCAGCTACCCCAGCACCATAGGGTGCTTTTCTCCCTAACCTTGCACCTGCAGAGGTTGCAGGGGGCCCCCTAATGCCATCAGAGCCCAGATGTCCCCTCTGCCTTACCAGGTATGAGTGCTCTTCTCACAATTAATGCAACTTCATCTAGGTCTAAAGAGCTATAATACCTACAGGAATGGGGTGCTTACGGTAGTTTACTAGGCAGATATGAAGTGGAGGTAGCACCAGGGCTGCCCCAGCTACCTGACAAGACTGGTTGAGTGTGTGTGTGTGTGCACGCTGGGGCAGGAGGAGCCTGGGGCTTCCAAGAGGTGTTGGGTAGAGCCACCCACAGAGGTTGCTGCAGCTGGACTGTTCCCTCCTGCCTGCCAGTCCCTGGGGTGCAGGGGTGGAGGGGACTGGGGAAGTGACCTTCTGCTTCTCAAGTCTGGGCTGCAGGCCAGGTCCTTTTGCAGCCCCTGGTGCTTTCCAGAAGGCTGCTCCTTGCCCCTGACACCATGGAAGGAGTGAGCAGGAGGGGATCTGGCCACACCCCTGCATCCCTCACCCTCACCTCCTAGGAATCCTCAGGATGAGCCCGGGAACACATATGGGAGGTTCTTCCCATCCAGAGGCTGCTAGGTCAGGTTGGCCAGCAGCTGGCAAGGTCCCTGCCTAAGTCAGGGAGGAGAATTGCTGCAGGCTGGCTCATCTTTAATGGCATCTGTTGCCTTGTGGAGCTTTGCTCATGGTACCTCATTTACTTTCCCTATCAATTCTGTTCTTATCCCCATTTGTCAGAAAAGAAAGCTCAGGGTCCGAGTGAGTGTCTCTACTTCTAGAAGAATGATCAGGCAGTTTGGGACTAGTTGGTTCCACTGTCTCTCCCCTACCCAGCCCCATGGTTTCCAGAGCCCAGCCCAGCACCCAGCACACAGGAAGCCCTCAGCAAGCAGGGCCTCACAGCACTCACCTTCCAACCCAGAGCACCCAGTGTAGGCCCTGGGAAGGACAGATGGGCAGCTGCAGGTGAAGGAGCAAAGAGTCCAACCTGGGGACCCGATGTCCAGACCGCTCTGCCTACCAGTGGAAGCCTCATCCATGCACAATGGGGGAAAAGTATAGGCAGCAGTCACTGTAAGAACAGTCATTCAGTCATTCCTTCATTCATCCATTCATCCACCACCTGACTGTGTCCAGCGCTTGCTAGGCAGCAGGTACTGTTCTAGGGCCTGGAGCAGTGTAGTGAAGCAGCCTGTACTGCTGCCCTCACAGAGATCCCCCAGGGAGAGCAGACAGGTGAAACTAGCCAGCCAATATACTTATGACATACTGTCAGCGGTTGGTGAAGCTAAGGAGGAAACCGTACTGGGCAAGGGAACAGAGAGGGGACTTGGGTAAAATGGGGGAGTAGGGTAGGGCTCTCTGGAGGAGAGGGTACTCCAGGTAGGGGGAATGGCAAGTGGAAAGGCCTGGCTTGGGTTAGAACTGGGTGATTTCAGCACAAAGGCTGAGCAGAGAGATAGAGGTGGGGAAGGCAGGAGAGAAGGTCCTATAGGACCAGGTGGGTTGTAGGGAGAAATTTGGGGTTATTTTTCTGGGCAATTTGGAAGCCCCTGGGGGGTCTGCCCAGGGATTTACATGCTCTGATTAAACTTTTCAAAAGGCCACATGAATAGAGTCAGGGTGTGTGTGGTAGGAGGGCAGGGCACATTGACCAGGAATCCCAGACTAGCCCTGCCACTACATGGCCATAGGACTGGGAAAATGTGAGCCTCTCTCTGGGTGTCACATTATCCATCTGTACAATGGAGAGTAGATGAATTCCAAGTTCCTTCCCACCAGGAAGATCTTGGTGTTTGTGAATGGTCACCCACTCCCCAGCTCACCCATGTCCCACAGTGTCACACAGGTTTCAGGAGGGATCCCTAAGCAGGTCACAGAAAGGTCAGAGTTCCAGTGCCACTTCATCCCTGTGGCCCTATCTATACAACTTGCTGCTGATCAGTGGCCCTTCTAAATCTGCTCAGCCCACTGGCCACAGGCCCCGTCTCTTGAGCCCACTGTGGGACAACCACCCCTACCCCCAACCATTTCTGGGGCCAACTTTGCACATCAGGTAAACTGAGGAATGAAAGTTGACCTGGCTTATTGAGGCCTCAGGACTCTTCCACCCTAGCATGGGCCACATGAGCCCCAGGGGGAATCACTCAGAGGCGACCACTTTGCTCAGAGCCCCTCAGCCCAGCTTGAGGCTTTGCATCCTCTGCTTCAGAGGCCGTCAGCAGCACCCGAGAAACAGGAAGATACACATGAAGAAGAGCTGCCTTCAAGCAACACAGTGAACAGAGTTTTCCACACATTGTTTTCATTGTGGTCTCTTTTTTAAGTTAAAAAAATTCAAACTT